GCTGATGGATCATCCTAGGAATAAGCATTCCTAAGAATGAGAGCACGCTTATCTAGGTGCATTAAATGCCATAGTACCACTTTTCAGAGCTAGAAGACAAAACACGCAGAAGTTCTTGTCTCCAACGTCTATATGGTACAGGCGTACAACTGCATTTAATGAAGCAATAAATGCACTAGGCTCTCCGGTCTTTAACCACTGGATAATAGGTTTGAAATATCATCTCCCTCCAACGGATGGATATTTTCTCTCCTATAAATACCCATCTTCTCCATGATAGAAGGTGTTGGTTTTTAATTACATCTGATCATACATATTCAAAAGCTCCTTAAACAAGTTCACTCACTCAAACTTTTGAAAACCAGTGTTCTAAGGTGTGAAGCTTTCAAGAAGAGTTATCAGATTCCATCTTCACAACCTTGAAGAAGTCTTGCAATTTGTATACGTTGATCATCCAACATCCAACCAGCCAGCCAAGACTTCAACTAGTTGGAGAAACACGCAAATCTTTTATACCAACCCTCAACTCTGAAGAAGACGTTGATAGAGGCGAAGTAAACTCTAGGAGTTGAAAAACCTACAAGCAGCTGTTCGGCTTAGTGATCAAGGAAGTTTTCTTGGTGTAGTTTGTACTAGGAGTGATAGTGCAAACCTTTCACGAGCTGTGAAAGAAGAGTGGAGTAGGCACAGTTGGCCGAACCACTATAAAAATCTCTTGTCTCTCTCTCTTCATTTTTCAGTACCTTACTTTCATGCATTGCATATCATACGGCCTTAACCGAAAGTATTCATAAAAGAGCAAACAGTGCAAAGCAACCTTAAATTCGCATAACACATCCGCTGTGTAATAACCCCGAAAGGAGTTATTTTCAAGAAAAACGAGTAGAGTCTATTCACCCCCCCCCCCTCCCTCTAGACTCTCCTTTCGACCCTACCGGGACCAACACACTATACTCGGAGGACCTCAGATGGAATTAACTCTATGTTTATTGTATTTTAACTTAGAGGTCATTGGTTCAAAACTTGTGTGTTGTTTTAGCTTTGGACATCTCCTTAGTTTTTAATTCTTTTTATAATATGTCTTTTAATTTTTTCTTTGTGCACAGTAACATAATACCACACTATTATTATTATTATTATTATTATTATTATTATTATTATTATTAGAAAAAATTATATTGAATTGATTTTAAAGATTGTGATTTCCATAAGGAAGACAGGAGACGAGAAATATAATGACATTTACTATGAGAAAACACCACCACCATCATCTTCAACATCATATCATTATTATTATTATTATTATTATTATTATTATTATTATTATTATTATTATTTACACCTCTGCATTACGTTGACGCCTCCAATGATATCTGGCACTCCACATCGAGGCTTCATCATCATTGATACAGTGTCGGCGTCCAAAACTCCGGTAGGATTGAGGCGGAAGTTGGTCTGATAAGTTTTGACGGCGGACTCCAGTTGATCCGAGAAGTAATCTGCTTCGGCGGAGCTGCTCTTGTAAGAAAGATGATCAATATAACCAAAATTTTTGAGATACTTCTTGAGATTGTACAGTCCTTCCACGCGGTCTCCTTTCTTGGATCCCTGCAACGCTCTGATAAACCCAAAAGCATTCGGGTATGGAATCTCCCCTTCCGCGGCCGGGTTTGATTGGGATTGTGGAGAGGCTTTAGACGCCATTGCTGGATAATTAAGCTAATAAGCAAGTTGGTAGGAGATAGATGGCTTTCGGTCAGTTTCATCTATTTATAGAGTTATTTTTAGTATGAAGGATGGATACAGCTGTTCATAGTTATCTTTTGTTGATTTATTATAATTTTAAAGATTATATCTCTTTATTGATTTATTGGTCCCTCAATGATTTTTGAATTGTAAATGTAATCCTTATTTTTTAATTATTTTTTTATATATATAAATTCAGCCATTCATTTGTTGACTTCTTAGTGGTAAATCTGCTAGTCCCTATCGTCAATTGTTGACCTATAGTTACAAATTTTGTTTTTAATTTGAAGCTCTAAGTCTATAGTTAAATGATTAAACTTAAACCTAGGTCCACAATTGAAGATCTGAATTTATCGCAATTGACAAACACGGAATAGAAGTTGATTAAATAACGAATAAATTTACAACAATTGAGAGATATGTACTATATTGATAAGTATGAAATAATATAATTGAGGAGCTAATAAATTAATAAAAACTTTAATCTTCATAATTATACTAAATACATTAAAATGCAATGACGGCAATGTTATTGACTTATTGCCCATCTTTCAAATTGAGTTGCCAAATTTTGAAGATTACATTAAAACATATATTAATGCATTTAAAAAAATACGGACACACAAAAACAAATTCACTAGTAGCTATCGGCCGGAAATTATGCAATATAATTGGGCGAGTGTTGTTAAGTTTACCCATTTAGTTAATGCTATGTAATAGCTAATTAATAGGGATTCGTTCTAGGAAATTTAGAGCATCCATATCTTTAGTTTTCTGGGGATGAATTTTGACAGAGAAAAATGTAACATTTTCCATTATGATTAATGACATTATTAAGTGATGCAAGTTTAATAGGTCATTTATAATCATTATGTTGTAGTTTGAAACGGATGTAACGGTTTTCGTTACAAAGCCTATATTGATTGCATATAAGGCTATATAAGTATAGGTCCTGTCACTGCTCCAGAACACCCAAAAATACACCATCTATATTGTCCGGAGATCAAGTGGGAGACATTATTACTCTGTTGAAGTTGCTACTACCATTTGGACATTAACACAAGAATACTAGCTACAATAGAATATCATGCTATTCACAAAGAAATACAATGGAGGTATCAACTATGGCTGGAGGTATGCTTGATCCTATCGCTTCCGCTATGAGGTTAGATTATTACAAATATTATGATTGTATAATTATTCTAACAAAAAAATCATATGTAGAAGAAGGAAGCTGATGTAAAGACATGATTTTGAAGAGGAAAAAAAAACAGCGCATAAAACGCGTTTGGGGCGCAATACTCGCCCACTGGGGCGCGTCTGAGTGGCTGCCACTCTAACTATTAAACTACTTTTCCGTTTCTTTTTTTTTTTTTTTTTTTTTTTTTGGTAAATATTGTCAGAAGTTAATTTTTTTTTTCTTTTCCTTTTTCTCCTCCATTTTTATCTCTTTCCTACATAGCATTCTTTAAAACCGTGAAAAAACTCAACTATTATGGATGCTCTTATAATCACTATTTGAGACTTGAGAGTGTGCACGGATAAATTTTGCCATATGACCATATTCAGCAAAGGACCACAAGAAGGTATATAAACATAACTTATCTACAACTGATCGACTCAAACCAAGAATGCAAATAGACCGGTCTGGTTGGGAGTTACAATACACGATCTTCATCCTTTTGAATCTTTGATCTACATATTGTAGGAGTCACGCCTATATTCTATAATTAGTAATCTATAAAAAAAATTTGTATATATATTTAGATTTATACTTAGAAAAAAAGTTATCAAATGTGAATAATACAATTTTTTATTTGTATAATTTTAAATTAAATGATAACACCTCTACTGTAGCATTTTATTTTTCATATTCAAAAATTTTGAGTGTTATTTTCGAATCTTAATATTCAACCCAGTAATAATTGAGATATGATCAATTCGATCAAAATTATAATTATAATAATAATAATAATAATAATAATAATTATTATTATTATTATTATTATTATTATTATTATTATTTGGTCTGTAAATTAAAATATTTTGACCAGAAAAGACGAGTATTTTGTCTTTCACTTTACTCAGCTCTCTCTAGATGGTGTATGAGGTATGTATTGTGAGCAGTGAGAGGACTAGTGACCTTATATAACCACTGGCCATCATTGTGGTTGATTGTCTTTAGGTCTCCTAAACCCTAACCAGACTCCTAATCATAATGGTAGTCTAGCTATTAGGTTATTAGTGTTGCACCACATATCAAATACTGAATATTATCATAACTTATCCTAATGTTATAATAATAGTAACGGATAAACGTTACATTCTCCCACTTGGTGCAAGCACTACCACTCAATAACAGAAATACACCAACCATAATCATATGTTCTCATTAGCACGAGTAGTATCCATTATGATCAAATGCAAACTGCCATTGAGCACTTAATTAGGAAACAAAACCCAACGAAATAAACCTTATGTTTATTCCAAGTCCCTGAAGTACATTTTCTCATCAATATGAAGCAAATGAAGGTGTACACACTTAATTGAGAAAATGTCTGAATGCCTAAGAATTTTAAACTGAATGTATATACAAATTCCATAGTGGGAAAAAGTCCCATTTTCTGAACCAGATCCTTGAATTTAACTGAAGGCATGCATTTAGTCAAGGGATCTGCTGACACCAACTCAGTATGAATGTGTTCAAAGAATACAACTTTATTTTTGACACGATTCCTAATTGCTAAGAACTTGATGTCGATGTACTTAATTCGACTCCCACTTTTGTGGTCTTAGCTAGGAAGACTGCAGCTGAGTTGTCACAGTAAACTTTCAATGGCTTAGATATGGAATCCATAATTCTAAGCCCAGAGATAAAATTCTTTAGCCAAACACCTTATGAAGTTGCCTCTAAACTGGAAACGAACTCGGCTTCCATGGTAAAAGTAGCTATTAAGAACTGTTTAACACTTCTCCATGAGATAGCCCCACTGGCCATAATAAAGACGCACCCTAAAGTTGATTTTTGAGAATCAACACAGCCAGTAAAGTCCGCGTCTGAATAACTGACAAGATCTAAATTGTCCGTCTGCCTAAACCCAAGCTTGTAACATTTGGTTCATCTTAGATACCTTAGAACCCTCTTTACAGCTCTCCAAAAGTCTAACCCTTAGCTATGGGAGCAACATTAGATGAACAATTTTGCACATGAAATCTCTCTAAAACTTTGTTTATATAGGTTTCTTGAGATAAGCTCAGTATACCCGGGGACCTATATCTCTGAATTTTAATGCCAATAACGTAAGAGGCATCACCCATATCCTTCATATCAAAGTTCTTAGAAAGAAATTGTTTCACGAAGCATCCCCTTATCATTGGTGGCAAGTAAGATGTCATCCACATATAAAACAAGGAAGCAAATTTCACTCCCACTCACCTTCTGGTATATACAGTTATCTGAGGGATTTTCAATAAAACCAAATGAAGAAATTACCCCATCGAATTTGATGTACCATTGACGGGAGGCTTGTTTTAAACCGTATATGGATTTCTTAAGCTTACATACTAAATGCTCACCACCCCTAGAAGAGAAATCTTCAGGTTGTTTCATATAAACCTCCTCTTCTAGATCACCATTTAGGAAAGCGGTTTTCACATCCATTTGTTGCAACTCAAGATTAAAATGTGCAACTAATGCCAGAATGACCCGAAGTGAATCTTTCTTTGATACAGGAGAAAATGTCTCCTTGTAATCGATTCCTTCTTTTTGAGTAAATCCCTTGGCAACAAGCCGGGCCTTGTATCTCTCAATGTTGCCTAATGAGTTTCGGGTAGCCTTAAAGACCCATTTACAACCAACGGCCTTGGCCCCATTAGGCAACTCAACAAGATCCCAAACTCCATTGTCCTTTATGGAATTTATTTCAAACTTCACGGCTTCTAACCATAAGTCAGACTGTGCACAATTTGTGGCTCGAGAGAATGTTTCGGGATCATTTTCTGCACCCAAACTCCATCCTTTACCAACCTTTTAATACGCTCAAGGGAGATATGACCTAATCTCCGATGCCACAACATTGAGGAATTGTCGTTAATACTACACCATTTGGTGCCGTTTTGAACATGTAAAGAATTGTAAACTGAATCATTCTTTAATTTAAGACGGAAAAGACCATCAGACAATGTACCAGTACCAACACAAGTAGAATAACGAAATAACTTGATATTATTGGTATTAAATTCAAAAGAATATCCGAAGGGTACAAGTCTAGATACTGAAACTAAGTTCCTAGAAAAACTAGGAACATAAAATGTCTTTTCTAACGTCATTACAAAACCATTGTCCAAAACTAAATTGCAAACTTCGACTGCTTCGACTGGTGACGCAATCTTGGTTCCAGAGAAGATGCTACACTCAGTTCCCGTTGGCTGTCTCAATTTTGTCAAATCCTGCAAAGAGTTTGCAATGTGGATTGTGTAACCAGAGTCAACCCACCAAGAATTAGTATTAACTTCTGACATATTAGATTCGAAACAAACAAAAGAAGATGGAACATACCCAAGCTTAGCCACAAGCCTTTGTTCCTCCATTGCACACATGGTTATCAACTCATTGATAGACCAGTCCTCTTTATGTGTGATGTAGGAAATCTTAAAAGGATTGTACTCCTGAGGGAGGGTATCAAGTGCAAAAAGCACCAAATAATCATCTGGTAGAATGATTTCCAACTCCTTTAATTGAGCCGTAATGTCCCTGAGTTGCATAATGTGTTCACGCGTTCCCTTGACAGTGGAAAGACGCAAATTTCTCAACTTCATGATTAGAGTCATTGCCAAAAGTTTCTTTGATTCAATGAAGTTATCATCGATAGCTTTGAGCAAGGGTTTCGCTTTCTTAATGTCCTCAAAGCAAAAACGAATTTTTCTGGAAATTCTTGACTTAATGAAGAGCACACATAATCATTGGATTTCTCCCATTGTGCGCGAAGCTGCTTGGCTTCGCCAGTGCTTTCTTCAGTAACCTCAGGGGGTTCCTCATTGAGAACAGCGTAATCCAACTCTAATAATCTTAATTGCAAGAGAATAGCATCTTTCCACTCTTTGTGATTATCTTCATTAAGGATTGGAACATTAATTTGTGTTTGGGTGACAGGATGAGTTGCTGTAAAGAATAATAATTAATGCTTGGTTAGAATTTTCGAGGCACAAAAAATTAGAGAGAGATACTGAAGTACATAATATTACCAATGTAAAATTATGCAAAAAATAAATTCGGATGCCATAAAAATTGCCTGTGGGCTAAATTTTTACGCATAATGAATTTACCAAAACTGAATGGTGGAAACGGAATGGGTGCGATTTTAATTTTTCCACTCTTAATGACAAAACTACCAAAACTATATGCCAATACATAATCCCTGTGGGCAAATTATGATCATAGTATGGTATTTCATCCTAATTAACCCTACAAATATAACAAAATTGCCTGTGGGCTAAATTTTGCCATATCACGCAGAGTGAATTACAATATTCTTGCATTAACTTTATGTGAGTAAAACTTAATATGTAATTTTGGAAAAATTAAAGATGCTGTGGCTACTCTTTAATTAACCAAAGAACATAATCACATTAGCAAGAAAACCTAATTAACAAACAGATTAAACCAAAATATGATAGACAATCCTTAGGTATACTCCCAGGAAAGTTGGTCGAGACGAAGCTCGGTTAAAAACCAACTCCTTAGACAGAGTAGCATCGCAAGGGGACTAGTAGCAACAAGGCTTTTAAACCAGGGCCATAGAACTAGTATTCCTCCCCAAGAAACTTCCCTAATTCATGTGTTCTCATTTTTTGAAGTAAAATCGTTTGAGAGATCTGAAGAGTAGTTTCACCTATGGATAAGGCTTTGAATAGGGTAAACTACGAATTGTTTATGTACTTTATGTGCTTTAGGAACTTTATAAAACACGAGTGGAGTAATGACTGAAGATTGAGTAATAATATGCATAATCTAACCTGAAAGTCACTAATTCACCTAAAGGCACTAAATCATGCATAATCAGCATATAATTCAGACCTAAAAGGCTCTAAATTTTTCTTAATGAACATGCTTTTCTACAGGCATAATTATAACAGTCAAATAATTATTGCAATAAAGAGATAAATAGCATGCTCAGATTATGCACATTACTCACAAATACTCCACAATTAAATTGTAACACTTAATACAATTTAAACTGAAAAACATTATTAAATTAAAATTCAACTGAAGAATTAAAACTGAATAATTATTCAAAGTTGAACAATAATTTAATAATAGACTTAATAAAAAATTTCAATTGGATAATTTAATTAGAAGAAGTCCAAATATGATGATGATATTAAACTGAATGAATTGATGTAATCCAAATATCAATTCAGGCTTGACCCAAAACCATAACAGGCCCAGTAAAAAATAATAATAATAATATTATTATTATTAATTTTTTTTTATATGAGCCCAGGTCTGGCCAAAATGGCCAGACCTGGCCCAATTAACTTAAGCCAAACATTCATCATCCATCTTCTTCATCTGAATAATCGCAAGCCAGCACCAAAATTCGAAAAATAAGAAGCAATTTCCGGCGAAGCAGCGAAAAGGCCAAAAATAAAAAATAATTATCCAATTTAATTAATTTTTTTTTTGTTTCTTAATGCGGAATAAACTAAAATTTCCAGCAGTCCAGACAATTTAATTGCGAACCAAAGAATATTCACCATATGTAATTGAATTATACAAATATGTATACAACATATGCAAATATTATATGCAATTAAACGAACTAGGCAGAGATTATTTATGGCGACTGATACCAACTGTTAGACTAAAATATCACATGCACCAAATAATATGTGATTACAGGATCGACTAACCTCCAGCCATAGTCTTCTTGTTATGGTTGAGCGATCCGGACTGCTGCAGAGATAACGAGTATTTTGTCTCTCACTTTACTCAGCTCTCTCTAGATGGTGTATGAGGTATGTATTGTGAGCAGTGAGAGGAATAGTGACCTTATATAACCACTGGCCATCATTGTGGTTGATTGTCTTTAGGTCTCCTAAACCCTAACCAGACTCCTAATCATAATGGTAGTCTAGCTATTAGGTTATTAGTGTTGCACCACATATCAAATACTGAATATTATCATAACTTATCCTAATGTATAATAATAGTAATGGATAAACGTTACACTCTTTACCATTTCTAGCACCTCAGCGGACAACAGTGTAACAATACTTAGATTTCTATGTTGTCCAGCAGATAAAATAAAATATTTAAATTACTAGTTGAGGCAGCCAAAACGTTTCTTTTCTGATCAAAATATTTTAATTTACAGACCAAATGAAAAATAATAATAATAATAATAATAATTTTTAATATTAGTTGTATTACATTAACTAAATGGGTAAACAACACTCGCCCAACTATATTGCATAATTTCCGGATAGCTACGAGTGGATTTGTTTTTTTGTGTTTCCGTGTTTTTTATATGCATCAATATGTGTTTTAATGTAATCTTTAAAATTATATAACTGTATTTGAAAGATGGGCAATAAGTCAAAAACATTGTCGTTATTGCATTTTAATATATTTATTATAATTGTGAAGATTATATTCTTTATTGGTTTATTAGCTCCTTAATTATTTCATAGTTGGTTTTAAATATAGTACATATCTTTTAATTGTTGTAAATTTAGTCGTTATGTAGTGAACTCTATTCCGTAGTCCACAAAGAAATACAATGGAGGTATCAACTATGGCGGGAGGAATGCTTGATCCTATCGCTTCCGCTATGAGGTTAGATTATTACAAATATTATGATTGTATAATTATTCTAACAAAAAAATCATGTGTAGAAGAAGGAAGCCCATGCGCGTTTGGGGAGCGTCTGAGTGGCCGCCACTCCAACTATTAAACTACTTTTCCTTCTTTTTTTTTTCTTTTTTTTTTTTTTGTTGTAAATATTGTTATAAGTTAATTTTTTTTTTCTTTTCCTTTTTCTACTCCATTTTTATCTCTTTGGCATTCTTAAAAACCATGAAAAAAACTCACCTATTATGGATGTTCTTATAATCACTATTTGAGACTTGAGGGTGTGCAGAGATAAATTTTACCATATGACCATATTCAACAAAGGATCACAAGAAGGTAAATAAGGTCACAAACCAAGAATGCAAATAGACTGATCTAGTTGGGAGTCACAATATACGATCTTCATCCTTTTGAATCTTTGATCTACACATTGTAGGAGTCACGCCTATATTCTATAATAATAATCTATAGAAAAAAAATTTGTATATATGTTTAGATTTATACTTAGAAAAAATGTTATCAAATGTGAATAATACAATTTCCTATTTGTATAATTTTAAATTAAATGATAACACATAGTCCAAACCGAAAGGTACCCGGGTTGGACTTCCATTTGGAAGGTTGTGAGTTCGAGCAACAGTGGAGGCGTTATTAGCTCTTTGTGTTTCAGTCTGTTGAGAAAGTATATGAACAGATACTACAATGTAATAGAGTTAGTAGCATTCAAAAAAATTAAATGATAACACCTCTACTGTAGCATTTTATTTTTCATATTCAAAAATTTTGAGTGATATTTTCAAATCTTAATATTCAACCCGGTAATAATTGAGATATGATCAATTCGATCAAAATTATTATTATTATTATTATTATTATTATTATTTATTAGTATAAGCTTGTATTTTATATTTATTATGTGGTTTAGGTTTGTTGTATTATTCTATAGCCTATAGTTTAGGAACCTATTCTTATTGTATCTCTGTAACAGGTTTCAGTTCTGAATCGAATAATTCTTTCCAACTCATCTGGTATCAGTTTAGCCAGGTCTATCCTCTCTCTCCTCTCACCCAAAATGTCGGGCAATTCATCGGAGCGTACACCAACAGCAACCACCATGTCCTCCCCGAACCCCACCCCCAACACCCTGAACTCTGCCCATCACTTTGTCTCCCTAAAATTAACCAATCGCAATTACCTTTTTTGGCGTACCCAGATTATACTCTTTTTACGTGGACAAGGTCTATTATTATTTTCATTTGGTCTGTAAATTATTGATCAGAAAAGAAAAGTTTTGGCTGCCTGAACTAGTAATTTAAATATCTTATTTTATTTGGACAACATAGAAAATTAGAAATCTAAGTAATTGTTACATGCACTGTTGTCCTCTGTTCTGCTAGAAATTGTAAAGAGCTTTAAGTCCATTTTTATCATCAGTTGTAAGGACCCGTCTCTTCTCACCATATTCAAACCTATAATACATAACAGCATCAGGGTTTTCACTGTGATCAAGCCCCAGAAGGTGTCCGATCTCATGCAACGCAACACTTTGTATATCTAAACCGTTGTGAGGTGGACCGAATTCTGCCCAGTTTTCGTCTGCGTCAAAGTGACAGTTCCCATTTGTGGGTGGAAATGCATGAGCGTAGGATCCTCCGGGGCCGTCAAACGGCTTCCCGTCGCCGTGATCGCCTCTAAAGAGTGTGAACTTTATATCCGCATTGGCGTAGCGAAATTTATAAAAAATGAAAGGCCCCACACTTTCCCAATTTCTAAGGGCCGTCGTTACGGGGAAGAAAAATTTATCCGGAGTACCGGGGGCGAATCCAAACGTGAGGCGGCGTTTGTCGGCCGGCCACTTGGGCTCGCCGGGAAGGAAACGATAATGCGGAACCACCCCGGCTCCGCCGGATGTGCCGTTGATGATATCCGCCACTCCGCAACGGGGCTTCATCATCTGTCTTGCGGTTTCTGCGTCCAAGATTCCGGTGGAGTTGAGGTGATGTCTGGTCTGATAAGTTCTTATGGCGGACTCCAATTGATCGGAGAAATAATCGGCATCCGGAGAACTGCTGTTGTAGGAAAGATCATTAATATAACCGAAGGTTTTCAGATACTTTTTGAGGTTGTACAGTCCTTTCACTCTGTCTCCTTTCTTGGATCCCTGCAACTGGTTGATAAAGTCAAAAGCTGACGGCGAGGATGATATCTGGGAAAAGAAGAGGGAGAGAAAGAGGAAAGCATAAAAGAGAAGTGGAGAGACTTTAGGCGCCATTGTTAGCTAAACAAGTTGATATTAGCTGTTTTTTCTTGCATTCATCGATCAGTCAATCTCATTTATTTATAATGTTATGTTTCGTCACCTTTTAGAATGATAGAAATGTTAATGTTTATTTTTATAGACCATATTTATTATAATTGTGAAGATTATAACACTTTTTTTGCTTTTTCTTCCTCAAAGGTGCTTTAATTTGCTCAAAAACCTAATAATTAAAATAAGTCGTCATCACTACTGTTTTACCATTCTTTAAATTAATTATTTATAGCGTTATGTTTCTTAAACTTTTAGTAGGATAGAGATTGATTTATAGTTATTTTTTGTTAATTTATTATAATTGTGAAGATTATCGCCCTATATTGATTATTGGTTCCTCAATTATCCTAAATTACAATCATAGCCTCAATATTTCAGTTCCCGCAAATCTAGTCTTTTAGTTATTATACATTGATTATATTTGAGTTTACAACAATATACATTACTGGAAATTATGAAATTTCAGACCATCTGAAAGTGATCTTAAATCAAGTCGGAAGCCTTGTTCCGACCATTTTTTGTATCCAGAAAAATATGTGTTGCTATTTCCGACCACTTTTTACTTTCAACTTTATTTAAGATTATTTTCAGGTGGTCGGAAATTTAATAATTTCGAGTAGTGATATAATTGAAAAATATGAACTAGATTTTAAACATGGTTAACAATTGAATTATTGGATTTAGAAAGGGAGTGCGACACTTGTAACTCAAAAATTGTTGAGGGATCAAAGTGTGATTTTTCAAAATTAAACTTGAAAAAAAAAAACATTATATGCAATATTTAGATCATTTCAACATTATATACCAATTGTTGGATCGCTGCACTATGCAGCACGCTTAACCATAAAGTTCTATTGTACTGGTTGTCATATCCTACTTAAAACTAATTGGTGATAGGTAGGTGGACATTAACCATTTAACCACATCTTTCCATGGTAAGCCACAACGCCACGTCTCGAATCGAGCAGGGGCTGAACTCGGCCAACCTGGCCGACGCCTAACAATGTACAATGATGATAGTGTTATTGTCAATCTTTAAATGCATCTATGTAATTTTGAAGATTACATTAATACAGATTGCTAGGTGGGTGTGTTTGGCTTGTCGATCTAGGAGAGGGTGTGTGTTCGGCTTGTCGATCTAGGGGTAGTTGTGGGTACGACTATAATGAAAAGGCAAGCAAACATTACTAAAATGTCTAGTCTAGAGGTGAGTGTGGGCTCCGCTTTGATGATTGTGGAAGATTAGGATAATGGTCTTAGAACTCAGAAAAACTCTATTGAATTTCTTAAGAAATTAGTCACAGGGCTAGAATATAAATTTTCAAGTTCTCTAACTCTTAGGGTTCAATTTGCGTGAATGTGTAAATTTCTCAAGAAGTACAAATACGACCAAAATGCAAATGAAAGAAATGTTTGACGGAGAAAAAAGGAGTACTTACGTGAAGGAGATGAAGAAGTCGTGATTGGATCGGAGAGGAGATAATTTAAGGCTTGAATGTCTAATTTGAGAATTTGTTTACAAATAATTCATGTAGATTATAACAATAATAAAAATTAAAATAAAATAAATATGTGGCAATCCAGTCAGTAAAAACGGAAAGTTAACTTGTTAAAAATGTTAATTGTTCTTCTTTTTTTTTTTCCTAGTTCAGTGACTTATTGAAAGTTATTTGAGTTCAGTGACTTAATTATTATTTCCCAAATAATTCAGTGGATTATTTGTACTTTATCCTTTTATATATATACACGAAGGATACATCTGTTCATAGTTGTCTTTTGTTGATTTACTATAATTTTAAAGATTATATCTCTTTATTGATTTATTGGTCCCTCAATGATTTTTGAATTATAAATGTAATCCCTCTTTTTTAATTTGTTGTAAATTCAGCCATTCATTTGTTTATTTGGTTGCAAATTTTGTTATTCATTCGAAGTTTCAAGTCAACAATTAAATGATTAAATTTGAAATATGTCAACAATTGAATAACTGATTTTATCGACAAACACTGAATAGAAGTTGACTACATAAAGACTAAATTTATAACAATTAAAAGAGATGTACTATATTTATAAGGAACTATAAAATAATTGAGGAGCTCATAAACCAATAAAAAATATAATCTTCACAATTATAATAAATATATTAAAATGCAATAACGACAATGTTATTGACTTATTGCCCATCTTTCACATGCAGTTATGTAATTTTGAAGATTACATTAAAACACATATTGATGCGTATAAAAAATACGAAAACACAAAAAAAAAACAAAAACAAAAACAAAAAAAAAACAAAAACAAAAACAAAAAACAAAAAACAAAAAAAAAACAAAAAAAAAAAACAAAAAAAAAAAAAAAAACAAATTCACTCGTAGCTATCCGGAAATTATGCAATATAGTTGGGCGAGTGTTGTTTACCCATTTAGTTAATGCTATACAACTAATATTAAAAATAATAATAATTATTATTATTATTCATTTGATCTGTAAATTAAAATACTTTGACCAGAAAAGATGCCTGAACTAGTAATTTAAATATTTTATTTTATCTGGACAACATAGAAATCTAAGTATTATTGTTACATTGTTGTCCGCTGAGGTGCTAGAAATGGTAAAGAGCTCTAATTCCATTTATATCATCAGCTGTAAGGTCCCGTTTCTTCTCACCATATTCAAACTCTTCCCACATAACAGCTTCACGGTGTTCACTGTGATCAAGCCCCAGAAGGTGTCCGATCTCATGCAACGCAACACTTTGAATGTCTAAACCGTTGGGAGGTGGGCCGAATTCCACCCAGTGTTCGTCGGCGTCAAAGTGACAGTCCCCATATTCGGGCGGAAATGCGTGAGCGTAGGATCCTCCGCGGCCGTCAAACGGCACCCCGTCGCCGTGCTCGCCGCTAAACAGTGCGAACTTTAAATCTGCATTGAAGAAGCCAGTTCTTGAGAACGAGAAATACTCCCCCACATTATGCCAGGCTTTAAGGGCCGTCGCTACGGGGACGATGAATTTAGACGGAGTGCCGGGTGCGAATCCGTACGTGAGGTGGCGCTTGTTAGCCGGCCACTTGGGCTCGTCGGGATAGAAACGGTAATGCGGAACCACCTCTCCGCCGGGACGCCGCCGCGTGCCGTTGATGATATCCGCCACTCCGCAACGGGGCTTCATCATCTGTCTTGCGGTGTCTGCGTCCAGAATTCCGGTGGAGTTGAGGTGATGTCTGGTCTGATAAATTCTTATGGCGGATTCCAGTTGATCTGAGAAATAATCGGCTTCCGAAGAACTGCTGTTATAGGAAAGATCATTAATATAACCAAATGTTTTTAGATACTTTTTGAGGTTGTACAGTCCTTTCACTCTGTCTCCTTTCTTGGATCCCTGCAACTGGTTGATAAAGTCAAAAGCTGACGGCGAGGATGATATCTGGGAAAAGAAAAGGGAGAGAAAGAGGAAAGCATATAAGAGCAGTAGAGAGACTTTAGGTGCCATTGCTGGCTAAACAAGTTGATATTAGCTGTTTTTTCTTGCATTCATTAGTGTAGAGACTTGAGATTTATTTATAATGTTATGTTTGGTCACCTTTTAGAAATATAGAAATGTTAATATTTATTTTTATAGACCAAATTTATAATAATTGTGAAGATTATAACACTTTTTTTTTTTTTTTTTTGCTTTTTCTTCTCTAAAACGTGCAATTGGGCGAAACTGAACATAAAATATATCTTTTTACTCGAAAACCCCAATAAAATACCTTAAATGTGTACAGAAAAAGGTTAAGAATATGATAAAATATAAACTAAGAGTCGTCATCACTGTTTTATCATTCTTTTAATTACTATACATTTAATTACTCCGTATTTATCATGTTATGTTTTTTAAACTTTTAGTAGGATAGAGTCATAGAGATTGGTTTATAGTTATTTTTTGTTAATTTATTATAATTGTGAATATTAACACCCTATATTTGATTATTGGTCCCTCAATTAATCCTAAATTACAATCATAGCTTGAATATTTCAATTGCTGCAAATATCGTTTTTTAATTGTTGATCTAGTTACAAATAATTTTTTTTATTTAATTTCTATTGTTGTTGTTAATTTAGTCGTTCAATTGCTTATATTATTACAAATCTAAACATTGATTTGAAGTACTAGATTTGTTATTAGGTTTACAATTTAATGGCTAGATATAGAACTAAGTTAATTAACAATTGAATTAATGAATTTACAGCAATATAATTGATAAACATGAACTTGATTTATGACATGATTAACAATTGAAATATTAGATTTAGAAATGGAGTGGCAGCACTTGTAACTCAAAAACCGTTGAGGGATCAAAGTGTTATTTTTTCAAAATTAAACTTGAAAAAAAAAACATTTATATGCAATATTTAGATCACTTCAAAATTGTAATATTCACAATTATAATAAATACATTTAAGTACAATGATGATAGTATTATTGCCAATCTTTAAATGCATCTATGTAATTTTGAAGATCAGATTACATTAATACATATTGCTAGGTGGGTGGGTGTGGGTTTGGCTTGTTGATCTAGGAGTGGGTGTAGGTTCAATTGGTCGATATAGGGGTGGTTGACTGGTTGTGGGTTCGACTAAAATGAAAAGGCAAGCATACATTACTAAAGTGTCTTGTTTAGGGGTGAGTGTGGCTCCGCTTTTATAATTGTGGTACATACATTAGGATAATAGTATTAGAACTCACAATCAACCTTATTGAATTTCTCAAGAGACAAGTCCCATTGCTATAATAAAAATCTTTATATTTTCATTGGTGAATTATGCTACAGTGACAAAAATCTTTTTCAAATTTCAAGTTTTCTAACTCTCGATCTATCTTTGGGGTTTAATTTGCATGAATGTGTAAATTTAAAGCTTGTTGATTTTTTTTATTATTTTTTTTTTTTGGATTAGTTTCCTATTATTGGACTTGTTGAGGTCTTTAATAGACCTCCATGTTGACCTTCACCACAAATCTATTTTGTACCGTAGTTAAGTATGCAATTCTAATTTCAAACCATCTCGATATGTTTGTAGACTTTTGGCCGTGGCATTTAGTTCAAGCTCTAAAGTTCTAGCACAAGTTTCATTAACGGGATAACCCCAATCAAGTTGATCAGTCAAATAAGTTAGTTGTGAGTAAATCATATAAAGTTTTGTAATTATTATTAGTATCAATCAATTCATCGAGACCGTTTTGCTCCCTCAAATAGTCATTTTAATATCTTATTTTGAGAAAATTTCAATTTTGGTCCACTGACTATTACACTTGTGTTAATTGCAACACTTGACTTTCAAAAATGTTAATTTAGTACCTTGACTATGCAATTTCTATCAATTTTGGTCACGCCGGCCAAATTGCCGGCCAAATCTCACCGGAAAAATTTAATAGGTCAACTAATGGGGGTATTTTAGTCATTTTACACATTTTTTCTTTCTTCTCCCATGAGCTTCTCCATTTCCGGTGAGCTTCTTCTCCATTTCCGGCAACGCGACGGCCGGCCTAGACGAAACACACGCCCTAGGGGCGGTACGAGGTCCGGCCTCGCCTATCGCCGAACGGAAGGGTTCGGGGCGCGAGTCAAAGGACTCCAACCCCAGAATCGCTAAAACGTCCTAGGGGCGGTACGAGGTCCGGCCTCGCCTATTGCCGAACGGGCGTAACGCAATCTTAACACCCTAGGGGCGGTACGAGGTCCGACCTCGCCTATCGCCGAACAGAAGGGTTCGGGGCGCGAGTCAAAGGACTCCAACCCCGGAATCGCTAAAACGTCCTAAGGGCGGTACGAGGTCCGACCTCGCCTATCGCCGAACGGCCGTAACGCAATCTTCGCACCCTAGGGGCGATACGAGGTCCGACCTCGCCTATCGTCGAACGGAAGGATTCGGGATGCGAGTCAAAACACTCCAACCCAAGAATTGCAAAGACGTCCTAAGGGCGGTACGAGGTCCGACCTAGCCTATCGCTGAACAGGCGTAACGCAATCTAGATACCCTAGGGGTGGTACGAGGTCCGACCTCGCCTATCGCCGAACGGGAGGAGCTGCCCAAGTGCGGTGACTTGGAGCCATAGGGCTACCCTAAGGGGAGGACGAGGTCCGACCTCGTTCGCCACTCGACAAGGTCTTGGCCGACTTCCCAATGAGGTCTCGACCGACCTCTCGAAGAGGTCTCGGTCGAACTCTCGAGGAGGTTTCGACCGACATCTCGGGGAGGTCTCGACCGACTTCTCAGGGAGGTCTCGGCCAACCTCTCAAGGAGGTGACGACCGACCTCTCGGGGAGGTCTCGACGAACCTCTCGAAGAGGTCTCTGTGACACCCCGTAATCCAAATTCAATTAAGGGAATAATTGAGTAATTAATCCTAATCCAATTGATAATTTAATTCCTTAAATTCCTGAAAATTCAATAGTCGGAGACTAGTAATTGACTAGTCAACCCAAAGTCAAGTGTTGTACCTAAAGCTTTGTGAGTAGTAACCTTGTTCCCTTACACCTCTTCATTTTAGTAAGGGTAATCAAGACATTTCACCTTATGTTAGTAATGCAAGCTAACCTAGAAGACACCCCTCATTCTTTCCCCTTACACTTTCTAAACTTGAGCTCCTCCTTTCTCTCTAAAAGTTAGATAGCTTTTCTTCCAAGCCAAGTTGGAGCTTTGCCAAATCTTCAAAGTTTGTCTCCAAGATTCCACATTTCCTACCTTTGAGCATCTAGGAGGGTAAGATCTATGTTTATCTTGTGTTTTTAGTGTTTTCTAAGGTGTCTTTCCTTAAAGATAAAATCTTTATGATCTTTTGGTGTGTTCTTGAAGTGGGTGTGGAAGGTGAACCCTATTAGGAGCTTGGTGAAGTGTTAAGTGAAGGTTTTTGTCTACAAGAGGTAACCCATGCTCTACAAAATCTATTTTGTTTACCTATATGATGATTTCTTGGATTCTACATGTGTTTTGCTATGAAATGTGAGTGTTTATGCATTGTCTTGTGAAAATGCATATCTAGAGCTTGTTATTAGGGTTCATGTATGCCATTGCTTGGCTATTCCTTTGATTCAAGTCATTTTGTTGTATTTGGTGAGATTTGGCATGTTTTGGACTTGAATTTGAGCTTGGAGTTGAAAATCCCCGAAGGGATTATTTTGGTACAGGGTGTGTACCCGCGGGCGGAACGGCGGGCGGGGCACCACTCGTCGCCCCACCCGCGGGGTACAAGGCCTCGTGGGAGTGGTTCCCGCGGGCGGAACCACGGGTGGAGGTCCACCACCCGTGGCTCCACCCGCGGGTACGTTATATGGTGTTGGTTGGGGATTTGTTCCCCATGATTCTTTTGGCTCGATATTTGGTCTTTTGACTTCCCGATGTTCTTTTGTGGAACTATTTGAGCGTCTTCTTGATGTTTCGTATGTCTAAAACTATATGGTAGGAATCCATGTAGGTTTTGGTGTCTTGAATCGTGCTAAGTGTTCAACCTTGTGATTCGTTGAATCGTGATGAGTCTTGTGAGTTCTTCGGAACCATGTTTGGTTTACCCGTTTGATAAGCATGCTAGTTCGGTGTTTAAATGCTAGCATGTGTGTTGTTTGTACTTTCCTATTGGTGGATGATGACTTGTGTTAATCATTGTTGGAGTCGGATTGTGATCCTTTCCTTGATTGAGTATGGTTTCATATCTTTGTTGTGATCCATTGATTGATTCCTATGATGGTGTGGTGTGTGTGGCTGTACCTGGATTGCACGATTAATGGTATGGGACATTAGTCACCAAGGTACGGCAGTGGTCCTCGTGGTGGCCATGACGTGATTATGGAGTTTGTGACCTTTGTGTAAGGTTCACGTATTTCTTGGGTGGCATGTGTTTCCATGTGTGTGATCGGTACCCTCGTGTACTATGAAATCGATGGTCTTGTTGGTGGTTATTGGTGGGGGACGACGGTCCCAGGAGGGAAAAGGTTGGACTTGGATGTACAGGGGTCCTGGAGGTAATGGTTGGAACTAGACATAAGGTTGGGGGTAGCCATAAGGTTGGAACCGGGCATAAGGAAGGTATCTCAATTCGTGATGGGTGATGTCACGAAGGCTTGTTTAGCCTTTGTTCTGTGTTTCTCTATTTGTGACATGTGTTGTCAGTTGTCACAAAGGCAATGTGTTGCCAATGGTTGTGTCCTTATTCTCTTGTGTTATGCATGTCGGGTGTTAATCTACTGTGTGATGGTAGATTATGCCTTGAGCCATTCTCGTGAGTCGTTATTGCTTCTTGTTGTATTGAGATGTGTTCCCTTATCTTTATTGTGAGTGCATAGAGTCTTCTGTTGATCTCTATCTTGGCTTTTGAAATTGATTTTGTATACATATATACTATCTATCTATGTATGATACTTAACGCGTATTGATGGGTTACCAGCATCATTCGCTGACCGGGCGTCGTCCCATATATATATCTGTGTTTCTTTCAGGTGCTGATTAGATGAGGGCGCGGTCTAGAAGCTGCTAGAATAGATCCCCTTTTCTTAATGATGATTTGGGCCTG